GGGGCACACGTGTGGCAAGGATCTGCAGAACTCTGATGGAGTGATGATGCTGATGTGGATGTTATTTTGATAATGGGACCCGAGATGCTTCAAACTTAATATGACAGCATTGACTGTTCTTCAAGACAGAAGAGTGTAAGGCTAGGTTTTACGTGGATGTGTGTGTGTGTGACTATTCTAAGATTTGACTCCAATACTATGTTAAATAAAAAAACCTAAATACGACTATTTATATGAATGTTACCTTATAACTCCCTAATTTCTAAAGACTTTTAAAAAGCTTGTATAGAAAAATAATGGGCTTAAACCCAACAGGTATAGAAAACCCAAACCCTAAACCTAATGAGAATAGGAAACCATAATTCCATGAAGGCTTCACCAACGTCAACAACCTATGAACCTAGTAAAATACTGCATGTGGGGGTCTGAGGGTGAGTGCATGCTAACCTTACACAGTTACACCTACCTCAAAAGGTAGAGAGACTATCTCTAGAAAACCATCGTCTCAAAAAAACATTAAAACTTTTTACAGCAAGAAAAAATAAGACAGAATTTAGTGAATGCTAGGATAACTATATTTCTCTAATTACTATTTTATGTACTTTAACAGAATTTTGAATCTAAAATCAAAACTTAGTAACAATGAGTATGTACATTTTCAGTTTTGCAGTACCCAGCCAAATCGGCCCTATGGTTCCAGATACAAACTTTGTATATGTATGTAGGCATGGTGCCGTAAACACAATTCACTAATTGCTATTCTTTGGTTTCCAAGCAAAACCATACACTAATTTTCATATTATATATGCCTATTATATCAAAATGCAACCCAACATGTTTGGAGATGATATACTATCTCTGTCCAATATTAAATTTGAGTGATACCCTTATTAAGAAAGTGGAATTGGGTTGTTGATATATACTCCGTATTTAAAAAGGCTGTTGATATATATTTTAAATGGAAACCAAAATTTGCAAAGCACGCGATTCTTTCCTTAAATGAAAGCGAATTTAAGTTTGAGATAGCAAAAAGATAATAGTGATTGGGATGGAGTAACAACTGTCATGAGATTATCCGGTTCAAGACAGGACTAGTTTCCCAGCTCATGCAGTGATTCAACATGAATGTATTATTGCACATTGGACTGATGAATATACCAGAATCCAGGCTATCAAAAGTATAAAAAGAAAGAAACTGTTTAAGATGTATTTATTCAGCCGTTTTTATACTCTTTCTTCTTGAAGAAGTTTGCATTTATGCAATATATTTGTTTCTTCTTTATTTTAAAGTTCTATTTCTTCACCTGTAATGGTAGCTATATTCTGTATAAATGATATGCATCTCAAATCTAAATGATCACTGTTTCATACTGAAACCTCATTTTGCTTCGTTATATCAATGAATTTAATTTGCAGATCCCTATTGGAAAATCCATGGCATAACTCAGCTTTTGAAGGTTCTGGTTTTGTGAGACTGTTCCTTCCAACAAACGTGGATAATGAAGGCTTCTATTCTTAGTAAGATGCTACTAGGTTTGGATTAATGCTTTCTCTTTTCCCTGTATGTTACAACCTTATTTTATTTGATGTTATGACAGTGATTGGACCAGATCAGTCCTAGACCACTTGGATTCTATACCAAATTCCCAGTTTTGGAGCAGCCAGTGGACCTCTGTTCTAGCTCGTGTGATTAAGAACTACGACAATGTTGATTGGGAAATATTCTTGTCAAATTTGTTCAATAGATTCTTGAATATGTTTGAGGTATGTTTGTACCTTGCAATGATATTAAAAATGTTACTTGCAGGTACTATGTTGAGCAATTTGTTTCCATAACTGATCAGAGGTGCACTAATTAATATTGCCATTTCCATGTGAAGACATGTCTCATTGATATCACTATTTAGAAGTAAAATCTGTTTTTATGCAAGGAGCTCTAAGCTTATCCATTTCTACTGAAAAAATAATATTGATTATACGGTTTTTGAGGATATTTCTTTATTCCATTTATGTTAGTTGGTGTACATTGGAGATTTTGCTCAACTTACAAGTGTTCACAATCCCATGGCAACTAAGAAGCAATATCTTAGACTAATATAATTGTATTGCTTCCTTCATCCAAAATAGATAGGGAAGTAAAGATTGTTCCATATGATTTAGCGTACAAAACAGTTCATGAACAAAGTACTATTGAAGTGTAGATGGATTTATTTGTTTTGACCAACAATGAAAAAGTTGCTGGTTTTGACTGCAATATTGAAGGGGTTTTGCTATCTGGCCCAGATTTTGGTGTTTACTGCATGCCATTGAACTTTTGGAACTGTCGGTTGAGTATCCTTCCGATTCTGGTGTCGCTTGGTTTTGAGTGAAATGCCATTTTTTGATGTTATCGGCAAAGTTTTGGTCAAACTTTGTATTGATAGTTGTAGCGGTTCAGATATTTTGATGTTGAGTGCCGACTCATTTTTTAATAAGGATTAAGGAGAAATGTAGTTGCAATAATAATTCTAGTGTATATGGGCCATCTATGGTGCAATATGGATCATGTTTTTCATGTAGGCTGTGTTGTCTAAGAGTCGGTTTGGCATTGACTTGAGCATTTTGTTAAAGCTATCCAGTGATAGTCTTTACCTTTAGCTCTTTTGAAGTTAATCTACACCTTTAAAAAATTTTCCGAAATTCTATCATTTATAATAAATGTTTTTCCAAAACGAAGACCAAGAAGAGTAGTTAATGTTTGGCCTTTTAGTGGTAAAAAAGTTAATATTTGGGAGTCTATCTATTTATATGTGCAGATATAGATTAATCGTAATCCTATTAAAAGATGTTAGGATAAATTCTTTAAAGGTTAACCACACCAACCGATATTAATCTTTTAGGGGTTGTGTGTTATGTAACTCTGAACCATTGTTGTAATGATAGTGACCACTATTATACTTCATAATATTTTATTTATGTGTTTGTCGTAAACATATTTTTATATTGTTGTTTGAATTTGAATAGTTGTAATAACGTTTGTTAAACCATTATACAAAAGGTCTTGTTAAATTTTCAATTTTAAAAAAATAGTTTGCCTTGTTAAATTTTCAGTTTTTGATATCTTCTGATAAAACTCAAAGTATTAATATTTCAACTGATACCTATATTTTCATCCTTGTTTCTCTCAACTGCAAAAAGCAATTATGTTGTGGTATAAACATCCCAATGTTAGGAATCAGAGATCAGAGGCGATCAAGCGGAAGCGAACAAACACACACACACAAATAGCAGAAAATAAGAACACGAGATTTAACGTGGTTCGGTCAGTAACCTACTCCACGGGTTGCAACTAGGGTTTATCTTTTATTAGGTGCTCACAGATTATAGTTACATGATTGGGTATTTATAAGATAAATTAGGGTTAACAACTTGCTAAACAAGAAACAACTAATGGGCCCTTTAATTAATAACTAAAACCGGCCCCCCATATTTCTTCCCTTTAACTGACCGGGCTTAAAGCCCAAAGCTCTAAAGCCTTCACTGAATAACCCAACACCCAACTCCTAAGAAAGTAGATTTATATACTTCGAGATCTCTTTCTCTTTCTCTCTCTCTCTTATTTTTTTATTTTTTTATTTTTTTTATTTTCTTTATTTTAATGAAAACAGCCTCTCTAATTTTATAAGGGCAGTGAGTACATCTCGACTCTCTTAGACCTCTCAGACCCCAACAGAGTTGGGATGGTTCTGGTTGTTGTTGTTGCCGTTGAACAAAAGCAAGCACTTCTATAATCAGGCTTAGCAGGCCAGGCATTATGACCTTCATCTTTCCCCTATTTTATGGGGTACTTTAAACATCCCAACACACATTGTTAGGAGGTCATTCAGATAGCCTTTTATCTATCACTTAAAGCATAGTGATTTATGTTCAATTCACAGGTTCCTGTGGCAAATGGAAGTGGGTCTAATCCATTTTCTGTGGATGTTCCCAGAAACACTAGATTCTTGTTTTCAAATAGAACAGTCACTCCATCAAAGGCTATGGCTAAATCAATTGTAAGATTTCTTAGAAATACTCGCTGGTTTCCATTGTAATATTTTCAAACTGACCCTACCTTTGTATTCTTTAACATGAGTGCAGGTTTATCTACTAAGACCTGGTGGTTCAGCACAACATCACTTTGGGAAATTGGTCAACCTTTTGGAACAGTTTGTTTTCTGAATTTTTGTAGCTCCTATTCATTTTTCTAGTTTGTTTTTGCTAATGATATGTATGTATCAATAAGTTATCCTTTCATTAGGTACTACCACCCTTCCAATGGTGGCCGCTGGACATATTCCCTTGAAAGATTCTTGTTCTACTTGGTAGCTACATTTCAGAAAAGGTTGCAGCTTGAGCAACAGTAAGAATCATGTTTCTCTTGCCAAAATATGAATCACATATCCCTGAAACAAATTCAATTAGAATATTAGATCCTTCATATGCCACATTGCCACATTGATCTTATTGAAACATTTTGCTTAGGAGAAAGGATAAAGGTGAAGTGTCTGAAGTCTTCCTAAGGCAGGTGGACAGGGCCGCCTTTGTCGATAGCATCTTGAGGCTGATTGATCGTGGTCAATACAGCAAAAATGAGCATCTTTCCGAAACAGTTGCTGCTGCTACCTCTATTCTGTCGTATGTAGAACCATCCTTGGTTCTTCCGTTTTTAGCATCTCGGTTTCATATGGCCTCAGAGACAGTAAGTTCTCTTATAGGCACCAAGATATTTTAGCCTAGATTTTTGAAGATTCATTGATAGACACTCCCATTCCTTTAAAATCATTCTCACTCCATGTTTGGAAGAAAAAATAACATTACTTCACTTAGGAGAATGATTATACATTTTGAAAAACAGAATAACACAACACACAGTCCAGGGATTGTCTTTTCTAACCACTCAGATTAGAAGAATAGAAGTTGCAGCAGCAACTTCTATTTGGGTCGCATGCATAACCATCATTGATTCTTCCTTTTTTAGCATCTCTGTTTCATATGGTCTCAGAGTTGGTAAGATCATTTGAGGGTAAGATGTATTAGCCCAATTCATAAAAAAAGATGTGTTAGCCCAAAATTTTGAAGATCCATTGATGTATGCTTGTTGTCAAGGAACCGATTCAACCAAAAGCTCAAGCTTATGGTTGTAGGCCCAGCCGCCCTGGAAAGGTTTTTATATTTTGACACTCTTATTCCACTCAAGTTATTTTCCATGTATCAAAGGATAAACAAAATTGTAAGGATTATATGGAAGATGTTACGTGTTGAAAAGCAGAGTTACAAAAGACATGACCACTCTCCAGTTGTTCTTATCTTAGGCCATATCCTCGGTAAGATCAAGAAGTTGTTGTTTGTGTAATTACCGCCTTTCAACTCTCTTTAGGACTACCTCTACCACTCACCACGTCCTCTATCGCAGGCATCTCACATATCCTCACAGGGCCTTTGCTCTCCTTTTAATGTCCTCAAACTACCTCAGTCTAGCTTCTCACACCTTACTCTCCACAAGTATCACTCCCACCCTCCCGTGAATATCCTGATTCGGAGTCCCATTCAACCTCGTATGACCACACATCCAACTCAGCATCCTCATCTCCGCCGATGAATGTGAGCTGTGACCACTAACTGATCAAACTTGCCTTTTAAAGCCCTGTTCTCTTCGCAATGGGCAAACTCATTGGAACGGAGGGAGTAATTGACTAGGCAACACATAAGGTGACATATCACACATTACACAACTTGCATGTGACACCTATATTCTAAAATTTTGCCCATCCTTGTGGCTTGTTGGAACTGGACCCTTGAAGTGGAGTATGCATTTGCGTGTACACAAGCATTTGAACACTTATAAACTTAAGATTCTTCTCGAACTCAAAAACATTACTTCAACACAAACCTTTGAACACTTGAATTCTAACAATTGAAAACAAAACATTGGTGTTGTTGATAGAACACTAACATTTGATTTTTTTCTGATCTCTGAATGTTTTACACCTTTTGTGCTCACTTAGACACCCTACACCCCCAAATTTTTTGGGCTTTTTGGTGCCCTTCTAAGCATCCAACATTCATAAACACTTTTGGGCCTTTTGGTGCTTGCCTGGTGCTCTTGTTGTACCATCCTCTGCACCTTTTATTCCCTTGTTGGAGCATCCATCTACACCTTTGGAAATTTCAAACATTTACTTTTGATTTTCTCTTGGAACCCTCAAACATCCTTTTCTCTCTCTTGATTTTTTTCACACTAAACACTTTTTTCCCTCTATTTTTTGAAGTAGAAAAATATTAAACACAACAGGAAGACTAAACACATTAACTCCTTTGATATAGCTTTTCCCCCATATTTTCTGCTTTTTAAGTATTTTTTCCTGCTGATAGCAGAAAACAGAAACGTTCAAAGAAGTTTCTTACCCAAACAGTGGTAGCAGTGAATAGTACACCAGAATAATTACTCCGGTCACCAAAATAGTAACTCTGATCTCCATAATAGTAACTCCATTTGCCAGAATAGTACCATCATTTTAATTATATGCTGATGAAGCAGAAGAGTAACACATCGCACACTGTAGGGGAAAACTCTTTTTTTAATAACACAGGAACACAACACTTGAAACACTTATATAACACTTCGGAATCTATGCTCCCAAACCATGTGCCTTAGCTTAGCCACAATAAATTTGGCAAAGAAACACAAGCTGAGACACACACTCAACTACTTGTGTGTGACGCCTGGAAATTTACCTCATCATTGCACACACATTTCAACACAATATTATATATTTCAAGTTTTCAACAATACGGCTTGCCTTCCTAAGCCATTACTAAATTGTGACATTTTTTGTCCCATTTATATAGATGACAGCCACCCACCAGTTGAAGAGTGCTGTAATGTCAATAGCATTTTCCGCACGATCTCTGTTTCTCACAGCTTTATCTACATCCTCCATGAATTTTAATGTTGTTGATCATGGTGGTTCATTTGTTGACCTTTTGATGATTTCGTTATCAAATGCATTGCTTGGTATGGATGCCAATGATCCACCCAAAACATTGGCAACAATGCAGCTTATTGGTTCTTTATTCTCCAATGTGAGTTTCACATTTTTAGAGGATACCAGTTTCACTCACCATACTCAGATGGATAATAGACACTTGACTTGCATTTGTAGATTGCTATTTTGGAAGATAATGGGGATGGATCGTTTCTTATGCCGGCCTTTCACTTCTCTGAATGGCTTGATGAGTTCTTTTGCCGCTTGTTTTCATTGCTTCAACATTTGGAACCTAGTAGTGTTGTGTAAGAGTAGCACAAATGCTTGTTTCGTTTTATTTTGTTCTAGGATAATTATTTAAATGCATTTCTAGTGAGCATTTGATATTTTGATGTTCGTATGTAATGAATGAAATATATATGTGTGTGTGTGTGTTTGTGTGTGTGTGTGTGTATATATATATCAGTTAACATACATGTGTCCAATGGGGCTGCAGGAATGAAGGCCTTCATTCTCCTGCAACTTCAGGAACTTTCCTGGTTGATGAAGGTCCATACTATTTTTGCATGTTAGAAATATTGATGGGAAGGCTTTCCGAGTCATTGTATAAGCAGGTTTGGAGTCAGAAATTAGAATGTGATTTTTGCCTATGTAATTTTTTCGTTGTGAACTAATACCAACTTCAACAGGCCCTTGAAAAAATTTCCAAATTTGTTACAAAAAATATCCTTCCTGGGGCAATTGCAGAGGTTGGGCTTCTTTGTTGCGCCTCTGTTCATCCTAATCCTGAGGAGGCAGTTACTCATCTTGTCAAACCAATGTTGGAGTCTGCTATATTGTCATTTAAAGGAACACCTGTTACAGGGTTAGGAGGAAGAGGGACTTTTGAAGCTTCTAGACTTAGCAAGGTTCATTACCTACCGATGTCTCATATTTTTTTCCGTTCACTTCCGTCCTGTCTTCATTGGTTCCTTCTCCAGGAAAAGCACATGCTCTCGCCAGCTCTTGAAACTGCGATTGAGTATCAGCTGAAAGTATTATCTATTGCAATTAGTTATGCCGGCCCTGCACTTCTTCACTACAAAGATGGGTTCAAAGAAGCTATTGCTTGTGCCTTTGATTCTCCATCATGGAAGGTATTGTATTTACTATACACGGTTTAACACGCCATTATGTTCCATTTTTATTTGTGCTTTTCAGTTTTATTCTGTGTTAAAATAATGCCCATTTTCCTTTCACTTCCTACTTTTCTCCATTAAAATTTCTGACCATATTTGATGACAAATTGGAATAATACATAACATTTCTGTGAGAAGAAAAGATAAAAAATGAAAGAACATAACACTTTTTTTGTGTTCTCTAAATATATATAGAACAAACCAACAAAACTTTTACAAACCAACACAACTATAGGAAACTACCAGGACCTATCTTTTAGAAAGTACCTAACTGTTTTTTATTTTTAATTAATTACATATGAAGAACACATTAACCAACTCCATACCAATCGACTCTATACTAACTGACCCGAACATTGACCCATTACCCATTCAGTTTTATGTGAGCAAACCCAATCAAATCTAACAACTTCATCCTTTATATGTTTTCATTTATGCTAGAAATAAAGTCCCCTACATTTTGGATGGGGAAGATTCTTAAAAAGACTGGATGTGTATTTTAAAATGGTGATGATTTTTATCCATGAACTTGAATAATTCTCCATCTGTCCCAAAAAGGTTTCAAAATTTTCTCTTTTGGTCTCCCCCCCAAAATAAAGCTCTATTTTTAAGGAAGTAATTTTGTGGCTCGTAATATTTGTCTCTACGTAAACTCAACAACACAATTTCACCTTTCTCAATAATAGTGCCGGGTCAAGTGTGTAGCCTTATTCTGAGATGGAGGGAGTAAAAAAATAAAGGCACTTTTGTGTCATGGGCTTTCAAGTTCATGGCTACACACTAGAAATTCATATCAATGCTTATCTTTGTTTCAACCATATTTATTATACTGAAATATAACTATTATTTGGCAGGTCAATGGGGCAGGAGATCATGTTCTCCGATCTCTCCTTGGAAGCCTGGTCCTTTACTATCCCATTGATCAATACAAGTATGTTGGGTTCAGCGTGTCAGTTTATTGGTGTATGTGAATAATAGGGAAATCCAGTATAATTCTGTGTGTTAAGACAATACAAAGAGCACACACACACAAGTATATTTACACGTAGAAAATCCGAGATGGACTAAACCCATACTAACTAGTCAACAATAGGGTCATCCAGTTAGTCACACTACAACAACAAGATGCCAAAACTCCCCATATGCCTGAATGAACCGAGACACCAAAACTTGTCAACCTTGTGCATTGGGTGGGAATCAATCCTAACTTTCATCTCTGATTTCGTCACTTGGCCACTAAAACAACATTGCATGTATTCAGTCTTAGTCTTACTCAATCTGAAACCATTGGATTCTAGGAAAAGGCGTTGTAGCTCCAACTTATCATTTAGACCCTCGCGGGTGTCGTCGATCAACACAATATGGTTAGTGAAAAGCATGCACCTTGGAACTTCCCCTTGAACTTCCTATGACACATGTCGCTAATCACCAGAGAAAAAAGGAAGGACGCCATGGGCACGGGTAATTCCACCTCTATAGAAAGGCTCAAAGTTACCCTCGCAGTCTTTACCCTAGTCCGTGTCGTGTTGTACATATCTCTGACTGCACGAATCTATGCGATCAGAACCCCTCTCGACTCAAGACACCTCCACAAGATCTCCATCGATCTATCATATGCCTTCTCAAGGTCAATAAACACCACATGATGGTCCTTCTCAGCCCTATACTCTTCCAAACCGACTCTATAAGGTACGTCTTCATATAGTTCCACCAACATGTTTACTTGCAAAAATGGACGAGGCGGCCTGGATTTGGCATTCACGCCTTGGATATTTAAACTTTGATGCTATAAGGAAGTTATCAAAAGAAAAATGGGTGATTGTTATGCCAAACATAAATAACAAGTCACAATTGTGCGAAGCTTGGTTGGGAAGCACCGACGTCTTCCATTCCCATCCCAAATTTCTTATCGAGCACAACAACCCCTTGAACTAATACATGTTGATCTATGTGGTCCTATTACACCGAGTACACCATCTGGGAACAAGTACTTTCTATTGCTAGTTGATGATTTCATTAGATTCATGTGGGTATATGTTATCAAGTTCAAGGACCAAGCATATGATGCATTCAACAAGATCAAGAAGTCTGTTGAATTGGAAAGTGGTTACAAGGTGAAAGCATTGAGAACTGATCGTGGAGGTGAGTTTGTCTTTACTAACTTTGAACAACTTTGCAATGAAGAAGGCATAAATAGGTATTTAACCGCACCATATACGCCAACACAGAATGGTTTGGTTGAATGCCGAAACCAAATTGTTCTTGGAACCACATGATCTATGTTGAAGGCCATGAATTTACCCCAATGGTTGTGGGGAAAAGGTGTACGACATGCTGTCTACATCTTGAACCAAACTCCGACAAAAGCTTTGGAAAAGAAGACCCTATACGAAGCCCTGAAAGGACGGAAGCCCAATTTGGAACACCTAAAGGTGTTAGGATGTATGGCCCATGTCAAAGTACCAACACCCAAATTAACAAAGCTAGCAGACAGGAGCGAGTCAATGGTACATTCTCGGGAGTGAACCAAGAAGCAAAGCATACTGGGTACCGGCTTTACAACCCAAAGACAAAAAGGCTATGTGTTAGCAGGGATGTCCAATTTGAAGAAAACAAATTGTGGGACTGGGCTAAAGATTTGGAGACAGGGAAATGAAAAGCGGGTTGAATTTGTTGTTGAAAATGAAGCTTATGTGATTGGTCAAGGATCGACTCAGAATGGTGGCAGCCCACTTAATACCTCGCCCAATCAAATCGAAGGCCTGGCTGCTCCAATCGTACAGAATGGGTGTGAATCTGTTAGCCCACCGGAGAATTGTTCGTTGTCTAGCCCATACTCGCCTGCCTCGGTTCCAAGCACTCTTATCAGCCCACTAAATGTTCCAAACAGCCCGCATGAATGAAAATCTTAGTACATCAGGTACGAGTCCGATTTCAAGTTCACATTATGATGATACACCCTCTCGAGGATTTCGTTTGCTAAATGATGTGTATTCAAGAACTCAATCGATACAAGAGAAGGCTTTCAATCCACCTCACTTTGATGACATAGAACTATTATTTTCCTATGAAAAGCAAGTACCTTTAATGAAGCCAAAGATAGAAAAGAATGGAGTGTTGCAATGCAAGATGAATTGGACTCTATTGAACAGAATAGGGAGTTCAGCCGATTGGTCTGGAGTGGGTTTATAAAGCCAAAAGGGATGCCAAAGATAAATAATTCGCTATAAAGCGAAACTCTTTGCAAAGGGCTATGTCCAGAAACATGGTATTGACTACGCTGAGGTGTTTGCTCCAGTTTTCCCGAATGGAAACAGTCCATTTGCTTCTATCCCTAGTTGCCCGAGACAGGTGGGGAGTTTACCATCTTGGTGTGAAGACAGCTTTCCTACATGGAGACTTAAAGGAGGATGTATATGTATCACAACCTGAGGGGTTCGAGAAGCCGGGCAAGGAACATCTCGTGTACAAACTGGTAAAAGCTTTATATGGCCTGAAGCAAACCCCAAGAGCCTGGAATTCAAAGCTAGATGCAACTCTTCAACAACTTGGTTTCAAGCGTTGTCCACTTGAACATGCTGTATACAAGCAAACCACAAGAATGGACCATTAATAGTTGGTGTATACGTTGATCTAATCATCACAGGTCCATGCAAGGATGAGATCGTTGGGGTCAAAAGATAGATGAAAAATTGTTTTGAAATGAGTGATTTGGGGCTTCTAACATACTATTTGGGAATAGAAGTGAATCAGGACAGAGCTGGCATTACTTTGAAGCAAACAAGATATGTAACAAAGGTTTTAAAAAATGCAAACTTGTGGGAGTGTAATCATGCAAAGTTTTCTATGGATCCAGGTCTCAAGCTTGGAAAAGTTGAGGAGATGGAGTCTGTTGATGCAATTGAGTACCGAAGGGCTATTCGGTGTCTTCGATGTCTAACCCATATAAGGCCAGATATCAGTTATGCAGTTGGAATAACCAACTCATGGAGTCACTCAAAACATCACATATGCAAGCTGTAAAACAGTTCTTGCGATATGTGAAGGGTGCAAATCAATTATGGGATTCGGTACAAAAGGAATGGGGATGCAAATTTGGTTGGTTATAGTGACAGCTCACATGTGACTGATCAGGAAGATAGAAAGAGTACAACAGGGATGAATTTCTATTATGAGGGTGGTCCGATAGCATGGTGCACAGCCAAAAACAGAATACCACTGCACTATTTTCTTGTGAGGCTGAGTGGCGGAAACAACAACCGCATGTCAAGCCGTCTAGTTAAAAGGTTTGCTTGAAGAAGTCACTGGTCAAAGCATGAAACCCATAACAATTCACGTGGATAACAAGTCTGCAATCATGTTAATGAAGAATCCAATGTTCCATGGGAGAAGTAAGCTGTTAGGCTTCAACTCAAGGTGGAAGGAGGGGGAATCAGGATAGAAGGGATTCAGGGAGACACTAGGTATCTAGGGTTGGTTTTGGAAGAAGATTTAAGTAAAGGGGTGAAAGTATTTAGAAGAGGGATGTCCTGATAGAAGATGGAAGCAAAGGGAGGATAGGTTTTAGGTTATATTTTGTATAAGGAAGGGTGAAAATGAATTGTATTTAGAGAAGGGAATGGATGGGCTGAATTGAAGGAAAAAAAAGGCAGGAAATTCTTTTGTTGTTTTATTTTGGGATAAACCAAGTTGGTGTTTAAGAGATATAACACACTCTTATCTTAACTTGGGGTTAAGTCTAGAATTTAATTAAGATATAACACACTTAATTAAATATCTAGAACCTAAACTCACACTTAAGGTAACCACCCTTAAGATATAGAATTAGGAATTTAAACAAAGAATACAACAAGTGTATTATTTGATAGAAATGAGATTACCAAACTGTTTTTTTACCAAGGCCTATGGCCGAATATATACATACATGCACAAGGAATACAGCCACTCATAATCCTATTACAAATCAAGAAAATAATGTCCATTTGTCATATGTCCTTAGTGGAATGATTTAAGGGGAATAAGGATCTTGTTTGGCTTGGTTTAAGGACTGTCTCATTCAACCATATATGGGAGGATCATCACAAGATGTTATAATTGATTAAAGTGATTTCTTTTGACTTATTTTGAGGAAGAGTTCGACCATATGATAAGGGACAGAGTGGATATTAAGTGGCTGGTTTTGGATGATTATACATTATGGATTTTGTCATCTTGTGTGTGATTTCAAGAAAGATGATATGGAGATTATAAAAGTTGATTTCCTTGGTTTTATTGGATGGCCTAGCTCGGCTTTTATTGAAGGAAAGAAAGGGGAATGACTCTCTTTGTTTGATTGTGAGAGAAGTCAACAAAGAGACAAATAGCTACTGTTCACCTTTTGACTTAAAATGGACAGGGATTTTGGCCAGATTNTTTATTTTAGTCAAAAACATGATAATTTTGTTGAAAAACAGGAGAAGGATTTTCGGCCAAAGAGGGGAGTACAGGATGGTCTCCTTTTGATGGTGGTTTGGGTTGTTTTGGGGTGATTGGTTCGGCCTTTAGTAATCCAAAAGGACTATGGCTAGGATTTGGGTTTTGATGATAAATTCATTCCAAAAAGGATCAAGACACCTAGACATTAATCCATTGATTTGTTTAAGGACTTGGGATTCCATATTAGTAACCCGGGGTATAACATCCTCCCCTTCTTCAAAAGAGTTTGTCCTCAAACTCGGAAGTTCTTCTGGTTCAAAGTATGGACTGAGATCTTTGATATTGAATGTAGCCGACATACCATAGGTAGTTTCTGGCAGTTGTGTTAGTTTCTGACAGATGTGTTGGTTAGTTACTGTTGTGTTTGTTTGTAATGGTTGTATTGGTTAGTCCTCTATTTATATGTATGGACACAGAGTTCTGGACAGTAGTACCACAATAAAAGCACTCTGTTTATACTCCAGATCTGATATTTTCTCTCAATTCTTTCTTTACTCCTATTTGCAACTTAAGTGAGTCCATTGAAGCCTTGAACACAGATTTTGGTTTGTGAGTTCTGACCTCTGACCTGAAATCTTCTCTCAAACCATCAATAAAGAGACAATGGTCACTTCAATTTCAGACTCGGACTCGAGCAGCCCTTCTTGACGATAGTCTTGTACAGAACCTGTTTGTTTAATTAGGACAAGGTGTTCGTCTGGGCAAGTATTCTGGCGGTCCATAGTGCTCCTCAATGATTTTGATGAATTCATCCGAGTACAAGAGCGTCCTTTCGGCATTGATCCAAGAGAACAAGTCGAGAGCTGGCATAGCCGCCATCTCAACCTTATCTTTTGATGTTCCATAGTAATGTAAGTACTTTTCAGCCTTCAACACCCAGCCCCTTGGATCTCCGCCGCTGAATTTAGGGAACTCAACTTTGGATCTGGGAAACTGGCAGTGGCTGTGATTGTTTTCATCATCAAAATCGTTCTCCGTCTTCCCAGAATTACTTCTGGCCTGCGCATTTAGGACAGTCACTTCTGCCTTCAGGTCGTTTAACACATAAAGCTTGGTAGTGATTTGTGCTAGTGTTGTTGAGCGGAATAGTCTTGTTCTCTGGTTGCTTGTTGGTTTCACCATTCTCACTATGGGCAGCGTTAGAACGGGTAATTGCCAAAGGATTGGGTAAAGAGCGATGTGATACCACATTATAGAAACCTGCCAGATTTAATTCAGGATCTAGATTCAAACTAAACAGAGCTCTCCTTCCCTTCTCTCAATAAGAATCTCACTGATGAAACTGATAAGATGAAAATAACAAATTGATAAAATTCAACAAACTAGGCTAGCCTAGGGCAGGACTCATGAAAATCCGATAGTCCTTTTGTTTTAAAAATAGTGATTTAATTAAAACAGTAACAAACTCAATTAAATAGCACAAAATAAAGGTTGCCTTCTACTATAAGTGATCTAGATCTTATTAACGCATCTCACAAGATCCTGATCCCGAGCCTTCTTCTCACGTGCCTTAGCTAGCTGGAAAATTCGTTTATCACCGCCTACTCCTCTATGTCCTTAGAAAGACTTTCAAAACATACATCCTTTGCCCTTGAAACCTCTAACTTAACTTCACTACGAGCAATGTTATACTCCGAAGAGGTGTCCTATCCTCCTTATCGCTACAGTTTCGTACCTCATATACGCCACCATAGTTTGTAAGGCGGCAATGCGAAGCGAGGCGCCAATGTACCTTCATATCGCCTAGGCAACTAGGCGACGACTAGGCGACATACATACCTATATATATACATACATACATATACATACATACATACATACATAATATATATATATATATATATATGTATGTATATGTATATATAGTTCTTATACATTTTAAGGAAGCTTGACAGAGAAGATCGAGAGAGAGAAGATAACTTTAAGTGTGTTAGGCTACACTAAAAGAAAAAGAGCTGCACTAAAAAATGGGTTTTTTTTCAAAGTTTTAAAGGGGCCCAAGGCATCAAGGCGAGGTAAGGCGACGCCTATGCGAGCGCCTGGTCGCCTTAAGGTTTTCTAGGCGAGGCGAGAAGACAAGGCGTCCCAGTGACAGCGCCTTATCGCCGAGGCGATGCCTTACAAACTATGTACGCCACCTTCTTAGCTTCCACCTTATTTCGAACCACATCACTCCACTACCACCTTTATGTCGACTTTCGTAACTGCAACTCACACCCATCACCTCTGGGTTAGAAGTTGAGCCCACATATTAGTGGCCTCCTAGGACTCCCAGATACCTTTCTCTTGAATTCACGAAAATCAATTCTGTAATTTTTTCCCCAACTAAGCTCCCACCAGATATGTGCTAGACTACATGTTTGTCTTTGTTTCACTCACCCGATTATGACATCCATCACTAAGGGTTCTCACTAAGGGTTAGCTTAGCGTTCTTATATAGCACCCTATCACACATGCGCAGAAAGAGGTCCCCACTCTGCTACCACAGGTAACCAATTGATCCTCCCGCATACGGAAATAAAGGAGTTAGCGACCACCAAATTACCCGCTCTAGCAAACTCCTTAAGTGAAACCCCCTTTGGATTCTTATCTCCAAATCCAAACCCTCCATACATCTCTTCAAAGCCCCTGGACGAGTAGCCAATATAGCCATTGAAGTCACCTCCAATGATGACTTTCTGTGTTTGCGGGATGGCACCTACCGCCAAGGTTGTTAAGGCGCCAAGGAGAGGCGAGGCGCCGGCGTACCTTCATATCGCCTAGGTGTCTAGGCGCAGGCCTAGGCGGCAATTAGGCAACCTATATATACATATATATACACATTCACACACATAATATAACCACAAATAGATATATGACACAACATATGTAATTAAAGTACAACATATGTAATTAAAGTCTACACATAATCTGAGATAAACAATTAAGTGTTCACAAGCATTTAGAAGACCACAAATAACAACATAATTCAAGTAAAAGTTCATCTCCATCCTACTAGTTTAATCACCCAAACATGCATGTTTAAAAGGTAACCTTAAACATGTCATTCATATGGGTCTCAATATCTATACTCATAGACTCATCATGGACACCAAATAACTCAACACCATAGTCATCTTCAAGATACTCATCATCATTTAGACCTAAGAGATAAGGTGATGTTAAGTAAAATATTTTAAACTTTGGCTTTCAAAATTTAAAAACTGCCCAGGACTAGGCTCCTAGGTCTAAGGCGAGGGTAAGGCGACCAATACAAGGCTAAGGCGATGCCTAGGCAAGCGCCTTAACGTCTTGAGGGTTTCTGAGCGAGGCGGACACAAAAGGCATCCACGACATAGCGCCTTATTGCCTAGACGATGCCTTAACAGCTACGTCTACCACCCCATCCAGCGTGCCTCCCAAAACTCTCTCTTAACTTCGTCATTCAAGCTAGCATGAGGGGCATAAGCACTCACGACATTGATAGCAGATCCACCCAAGACTAACTTGATAGCCATTAACTGATCACCAATCCTCTTCACCTCTACCACATACTTCTGCAGTCTCGGCGCCACCAAAATACCAACTTTGTTCTTGTTCCTAGCAATGCCTGAATACCACAACTTGAACCCGGCCATTGAAGCTGCTTCCAAATGACGAACATTTGATGGCCCCCATTTAGTCACATTAGACCACAACATTAATAAGACAATCATAAGTCCTTGTAAGGAAGAACTGATGTGCCTCAATCAAAATGGAAATATTGGCAAAAACAAACAGGGAGGACACCTCGAGGCTGACCGGTGCGTGGCGGGGTCTTAGGCAGTGGGCCTTTTACATTAGGGTTGGGAAATCGTCCTGAGCACGTCTATGGTGCCATAGGAGGAATCTGAAGAAAAGGCTACCGAAGATGAGGGAGGCACACATGAGAAGGGACCTAACATGTTAAACTCATAACAAGGAGCATATATATATATATATATATATATATATATATATATATATATATAGTAGAAAACATGAGATGGGCTTGGCCCATACTAAGTAGTGGCACACTAGGGTCATAGTTTCATCAAATGACACATCGAATGTTATACCCATGTAGTAAATATTTAAGCGATTCTCAATCCTCTTTTTGCATGGTCAACTTTTGGGTTTATTAGGTGTCTTTTGCATCACTCGGCTGCCCCAGCATTGGAGGAGTGGATCAGTACAAAAGATTTTTCAAATGATGAGCATTCGGTGGCTCCCAGGTGGCATGTTCCTTGTAGGGAAGAGATTGAATTTGCAAATGAACTCTTAAGGTTGCATTTGGATTCTGCTTTAGATGAACTTTCAAGGATATGCAAATCTATCCATTCTGATCCAGGTAACGTTTAAAGTAAAGCCATTCACTTACAATGGAATATCCATGTACAGTTGTACTTTTTTTTATGTTTGTTTGCTACTTGGTACTCAGGACTTGAAAAAGAACACTTAAAAGTGACTCTCCTGCGCATTGACTCTTCATTACAAGGGGTTTTGTCATGTTTACCCGATTTTAGGCCATCTTGCAAAGGAGTGGTTGAAGAGCAGGGGAATATTCTGTTTTTTATTGCTGGAGCAACAGGCTCTTGCGTTGGTAGTGCTGAACTGAGAGAGAAAGCTGCCGATGTTATTCATTCTGCTTGCCTGTATTCATTATCTTTCCCCCCTCAATTTATCCTTCTTTCTCTTAGGTATAGCATGCCATATCTTATTATTGCTGCTTTGTTGCCAGGTACTTATTGGAGAAAAAGTCTGATGATAGCATTTTGTTATTGCTCCTCATTCGTATAATGGATTCCTTAGTAAATTATGGTAATGAACTCTCCTTTGTAATGGTCTCCTGCAGTACTCTTTTGTAATAGTACGTTCTTTCTTTGTTCCTCTTTGACGGAATTAACAGGTAGTTCAGAATACGATGAGTGGTTAAATCACCGACAGGCCTGGAAACTGGAATCTCCTGGCATTGTAGAACCTCCAGTTAATTACATCGTGTCGTCTCATTCGAAAGGAAAAAGAAGGTATAATTTCCAGACTGCATTGTACAACACAGACACCCAAATGTACTCATTTTAGGGGATGTAAAATTGTACAATTTTTATGTAAAATGTTACATGTTAAATTATCATGCAGATCACGATGGGCACTTATTGACAAAGCTTATATGCATAGTACTTGGAGAGCTTCACAGTCATCATACCATATTTTCCGGATGACAGAAAATATGCATCCATCTGATCATGTCATGCTTTTGATGGACGATCTTCTTAACCTCTCTTTACATAGCTATGAAACCGTCCGTGCGTAAGTCTACTTTGTACTGTTATACTTTGTACATCTTATGGTGGATATTGCACATGCTGTATTGAAAGCAAAATTTGGATATGTTATATGGTGGTGATATATTGTGATCAAACAATGGCTTGGATACAATTTCTGGCCATGTACAATTTCCAGCCATATTTTGCGGCTTTGTTTTACAACAGTTCTACTAGTTATTTGTTAATGATCTAATAAACAACTCTTACATGATATGATATACTTGGTCCGTCTCTGAGTGTTTGTCCACTTTTGACTTTTGGAACTGTTCATCTAAGCACTTTGACTCGTCAAATTCTCTCAATGTGTAAGCCTAAAAATAGTCATGTGTGATCTTGTTTGATTCGTCTTAACATATAGATTATTAATATATAATTTTTATAATTTTTTAATATACAAATTACAAGATAAAATGGATTAAAGAAGTGCATTGGATGGTGTGCAAAAATGAAAGTGGACAATTACTCAGGGACGGAGGGAGTAAATAGGAAAAAACAGAAAAGGTGGAGCCAATTAGCTTTCAGTCAATAATCAACACCCCCTTCAATGCTAAGATCATAAGGTGGCATCATCTCTATGATTCCACTTATCTTAGCTGTAGCTTACAGTCAATAATCAACACCCCCTTCAATGCAAAGCTTGTACAGAGTATATAATTGTGATAGGAGTCATATAGGAATTGAATGGGGAAATAGGATAAAATCTATTATGAAGTATTTGAGCAAGATTCTTAGGTGGATGAGTGGACACACCCAAAAAGATAGGGTTCCAGACTTCAAGAGTGGTAATATTGGAGCTAAGGAGTGGTCACTTCAATAGAGGATAAGTTGCATGAAGCTAGATTGAGATGGCTTAGGCACGTGAAAAGGATAAAGCATGAATGCCCCGCTGAGGAGTTGCAAGAACCTAATGGCGGGGAATTTGCAAAGAGGTAGAGGGAGCATAGTTGTCACAGCGCCAAGGCGATGCTCGGCGCCATATATTGCCATGACGCCTAGGCAACCGCCAAGGCAACAATTAGGCGACCTAGGCGGCAACACATAAGAAAACATGATTGGTTACACTAATATAAATATAAACATAAGTTTTCTCTAAACCTAATTAAAGTTCAAATGCACATACTTAATAAAATACTATAAACACACCATAATATGAAACAAAGAATATGAAATACAAAATATGATTAGAAAACAATATGCGACTTCTTAGTGCAATGTAAATACTGAGTATGAGAAAAGTCACTAGGCATAAAGGATTTTCAAGAGGCGATGCCTGGACGCTTAGGCGACACTTAGGCGAGGGATGTGAAATAAAGCGAGGCGATACACCATGGAGAGAGGAGCTGACCGCCACGACGCCTAGATATTATAGAGGTCTAGATTGGTTTTGTTGTTAAATTCTTGTTACTCTCCTTTCCAACTGGAAAAGAAAAACTTTGGTTCATTTTATTAATATTTTATGCATCTCATATATTGCTTTCACGTGTCCCCAGAATTGCTGGAAAATCTCTTCTGAAAATGATGAAGAGATGGCCATTTACTATTTCAAAGTGTGTGCTGAGTTTGAGTGAATATTTGAGGAATCCGAGCTCACCTGAGCACGCAGTATTAGGCTCTTGTGCAGTTCTTGCAACACGGACTGTGCTCAAAAGTTTAACTAGGGTATTTATCATCTAGATTGCATGCAGTTCTATTTACATGAGAAACTACTTGCTATGGTATTCTCTGTTCTTAAATGTTTGACTATGGAATTTGACTATTTGCTTTGTCAATCCAGGATACAAAGACACTTTCTTCATTTCTGATTGGAATTCTTTCAAGGTAAAATTTATTTTGATGCTTTTTGAATTTAGTCTGTGTTTGGTTGGATCTTTTAGGGAAGGGAACGAGAAGGAAGAGGGATGGAAGGTGAGGATTAAAAGGTTTTAAAAAACCATCTAATCCACTGACTCCATCTCCTTCCCTTCCCCTCCAACCAGAAACAACCTTAGATTGAGATTCATTTGCTGCAGAATGATGCATACCATGTGTCTAATTATTTTTTTACAGCTCTCATCATGAATCGTTGAAAGCTCAGAAAGCAATCAATGAGGTGAGATATTCTTGTGTAGTTGAATATTTATTTTAAAAAATCCTTTCTTGAATGCTAGATACAACAAGTACTCATAAATATATATAACAGCTTTTTGTGAAGTACAACATTTATTTTGCGGGAGTATCTAGAAACATGTTCAAAACATCGGTCAATCATTCAGACAAGACCGATTTTGCTGTATTGGTTTCTGAGATCAGCTCCATGAGTTTCGAAAGCACCAACTTGCATTGGAGGTAAAGATGCTTTTTTCCCTTTTTTTAGCGATACTAGCTTCTGTAACATACTCCATCCCAAATTAATGTTCCTGGTTTGACCCCGCCCGGCGGTTAAGAAAAGTTGAAAAAACTAATAATTTTCCAGAATGCTCTTGCATACGCATACGGATTGGTCCAGCGGTTGACCCATTTTTTCTTTCTTTTCGTGAAACACTCCATACTGTATTCACTCATAGTCTCATAGTACTCCAATCACATTTACATGGAGTAATTAAATATTGATTGCCATAGCCCATAGTCAACACCCCCTCTTCAGACGAACTACTCTTCATCACCAAGAACTGGCTTCACAGAGGTTAGATGAAAAAATAGAAGAAGAACGTCACTTCAGGTCCGTCTGCGAACAATTTCAGATCCGTATGCGAGCAGTTTTGTGCAGAGTAGGGGCATTCGCAATAACAGATCCGTATGCGAGCAATTCTGTGCAGAGTCTGGGTATGGGCAATTTCAGATCCGTCTTCGTCAACTACGTTTCCATCAGAAGAGGACACCATTTCAGACAATTGGTGAAGAAGACGAACAGAGAAAGGCTAGCGGTCCTGCATTGAGGATGGGTAGGGGAGTAATAAACTGGGGTCATGGCACGCATAATAAAAGGCAGGGTATAGAGGGAAAATTTATCCTTTCATTTAGAAATTGTTTCCATTTAGAGAAATGGGAACCTTATTTTTGGAAAAACCAAAAAGGAAAATGAGGATCTTTTTTTGGGATGGAGGGAGTACTAGTTTCTTCCTGTACATGAGTAACAAGTACATGAGGCATAGGCAGGCTTTCTTTCTGGTTTTTCCATCACTCCACCTTTCCACTGTCATTTATATGACATCAGCATTGACTAGGTTTCTCAACTCAGGTATAATCTGATGGCTAATCGAGTTTTGCTTCTGCTAGCAATGGCTTCTAGGAATGATCGTAATTCATCTCCAGAAGTTCTCAGTGAAACTGCTGGTAAGGGAACACTGCAGTTATGTCTCAAGTTGAACTTAAAGATCTTTACAGTTATTGTCTTTGAAATTGTTTTGTTACTTCTGTAAATGGTCAAAACTACCTTCATACTTTTGCTACTGAAATTGAGTTACATCTTACATGTTATGTTCCTATATTTTCAGGTCATTTCTTAAAGAGTTTGAAGAGTCAATTACCTCAGACGAGAATACTGGCAATCTCTGCTCTTAACACACTGTTGAAGGACTCGCCTTACAAACTATCTGAAGACAGGCCCATTCTTTCTTCTGTTTTACACAAAAATGTGAAGTCTTCTCTTGAAGAAGCTTTAAGTAGTATATTCCAAGAAGAAGGATTTTTTAGTGAGACTTTAAACAGTCTTTCTCATATTCACATAGTTGATACAGATGGTGCATCTTCTAAAGGAGGTCATGGAAGCTCTTCATTCCAAAGCCTTGCAGACAAATCAATCACCCATTTTTATTTTGAATTTTCTTCATCGTGGCCTCGTACACCTGACTGGATATCTTTATTCGGAAATGATACCTTTTACTCTAGCTTTGCCAGGATATTTAAACGGCTAATGCAAGAATGCGGCATGCCTGTATTACTGGCACTAAAAGATGCACTAAAGGAGTACATAAATGCCACCGAGAGGGCTAAACAGTGTGTTGCTGCTGAAGCATTGGCTGGTGTGCTTCATTCTGATGTCTGTGGTGTTTCTGATGCATGGGACAGCTGGTTGATGGTCCATCTGCAGAATATTATTCATGCACCATCTCTGGAATCTATACCAGAGTGGGCAGCCTGTATACGTTATGCAGTTACCGGGAAGGGAAAGTATGGGACAAAGGTTCCTCTTTTAAGACAGAAGGTCTTGGACTGTCTGATGAACCCTTTCCTGGAGGCAGTTGGTACTGCTGTTATCACGAAGCGCTATATTTTTCTTTCGGCTGCACTTATAGAACTATCCCCGCCTAGATTGTCATCAGCTGAAATAGAGCTTCATTATGAGCTGCTTAAAGAATTGATTGGGAATATGAATCATTCTTCTCCACAAGTAAGTATTCTATATTTCGCATATTGTAAAAAACACTAAACTTTACCTTGTTTCTTGTACTCATTCCCTGTAATATATAGTTACACAGGCAGAGCATAACATAAAAAAGCGTATCAGCACCTTACCGAATCAAAATTAATTATTCATAGCCATAGTTATCACAGCGCCAAGGCGAGGCGCTTGTGGGTTGCAAGGATGCCTAGTGGACTATGCGGACGCCTAGGCGACAATTTGGCGACCACTTAGAATTTAGAACACTACAATTCTACAAATAATAAAACATAATATAATTTATAAATTAAAGACTTTTGAGTCATTGTTTAATATTATCAGGAGTCAAGAAAACTATCATCGTAAAGGCTCTCAATTCCCTCATTATCAGCCATTTTACGAGGTGGAGTTGGTGGCTGCTGTTTAAAGTCATCTTCAACATCATGTGGAAAGTTATCTACTTCTTCATCTTGTAATTCCTCATCATTCAACCTTGAACCTAGAGTAGACTTTTTTTGGCACTGATATGTTGCAATGTGTGGAGTTGTTGATGTGTTAGCATCATTATCACGTGCCCTCCTAGTAATATTACGTCCTTGACAAAGGGTTAAAGTCTCTTCCTTATTCACACCGTTTTTGAAACCTTGTAGAAATCTTCCAGTTGTATTGAATATAAACCAAGTTATTTAACCTCTTATGCTTCTACCGGTTCCTCTTTTTCGTGTGGATCTAATGAGAAACATTAACAAGGTAGTAGTTAAATTAATACTTCAGACTTCAGAATGTTCACGACCAAGTTGTTATTCGGTAGAGGTATAGTACTTTGAAACTCAATGGTACTCCAATTACGCTCACAACCCAAAGAAGAACAACAAAGACCAACAATGCGCTTAGCAAATGATTGAAGCTCAATCGTGGAGCCACCAAATGCATCCCACCAATCAACTACAATGCATACAACACTTGATTGAAGCTCAATAGAAGATTTCTCGGTTCCATCGATCCAGCCAAGCAGAAGATTTGCTTAAGTGCGGTTTGAACATTCAGAGCGTATGCAGGGTAGTTTGTATTCGTGAGTTTTTCAGGGATAAGATTATGAAGATCCCGGAGCAAGAGATTTACTCTAGAAGGAAGAGAAGCTAGAGGGTCCGACGGTGACACCATGGGTTCAACGTTTGACAGTCAACGAAGAGCAGAGGACTAGCAATGATGCTGGGTCGAGAATAAAACAGACTAGATTTTTGGAAACCTTTGCTCTGATACCATGATACAATTTGATAATAATTGGTCTTATTGAATAATGAAGTATATGTAGAGAATACAAGGAGAATCCTAGCTATAGTAGAATAAGTGCCTATGGTAACAATGGAATAAGTATATAATAATGATAATATTCTATTTCCTATTATATTTATATCATGATCCACCATTCTGTATTGTTCCCTCATGGTATTCTGCTCTATGTGTTTTGTTCACAATGTTGTTTCTGACCATTATAAACTTGCAAGCCATTGAATGGATGTTCATTTGCTATTCTCGGGTTTATACCTCTGCCGATGCCTCCTTTTTTGAAGATAAACTATACTTTACTACATATGTTCAATTCGTATTGTTGCTCCTTGTATTTGATTTTATTATTTGTGGACCAAATACATCACTTGTCACAAACCCTTATTATGATTACCATTGGACCATCCATAGAGTCTTTTTGTCCCACTTATCACCTTCCCCCGCCCTACCCATCCACTTGAGGTTATTGCTTTGCCCAAGCGCAACTCACCACAAGTTATTTCATCTCCGCCAGATTCGGAGAAACCTCCATCTGAAGTTGATGTTCCTATTGTACTTTTTAAGGGTATCTATTCTATTTGAAATCCTCATCCTATTTACTATGATTCAAGTTACTGTCATTAGTCTTCCTCTCATTCTTATTTTGTATCGTATCTTATTTGTTGTCTTTCTATATCCTAAGACTGTTCGGGAGGCACTTTTGAATTGAGGTTGGCATCGTACTAATATGTGTATATTAAGAGTCCCTAAAATGCAGGGATTTGCCATTGACAATTATAATCAGCTTTTTTTTATGCACACAACCTAATATTTTCTGATATTTAAGTAGTCTTTAACTTGATGTTCATTCTTTGTGTTTGTAAAATACTAAAATCCCACATCTATACTTATGATATAAAAGCCAGATGCATTTAACTATATATCCTTTGAAGCACACAGTTCACAAAATAAGATGAGATAAAACAAGTACACTACTACACTTCCAGTTGCTTATTGTTTTTCAAAATTGTTTGGCAACTCATCATATCAGGGTGGTAAAGAATTGCTGCATGTTTTTGTGTAACAGGTGAGGGAATCAGTCGGCTTGACTCTCTCTGTCTTGTGCTCAAACATTAGACTTAATGAGTTGAGTAATCAAGTTCAGCCACATGAAGTACAAATTAGTGGCTTGCACCAAAATAAGAAATCATGTTGGGATCAATATTTAATGGACGAAGGTTTAAAAATTGCGTCAAACATCCAGAAGCCGAGCCAGTTAAATGTTTACGATATCTCAACAAATAAAGCCTCCTTAAATGGAGCATCAAATGATAACTCTCAAGATGATGCTAAATGGATGGAGACGGTACATTTTCAAGAAACTCACTATTTGATTAAAACTCCTTTTCTATCCTAGTATACTGCATCTATTCCCAAATAAACCGTGCTTCTCATCTGATGCTAAAAATAGCGTTATAAACATGACTCCTTTTTGGGACATAGGGAGTTGTATTTACTTCTTCTTTTGTATGTGCAGCTATTTCATTTCATCATCTCTTCTTTAAAGTCCGGAAGGTCTTCGGTTTTGCTGGATGTTCTTGTTGGTCTTCTCTATCCTGTAATATCGCTACAGGTATGTTAAGTGGATTGTTTGTAATTCCTATGTTACTTAACTGGAACAAAAGTATCAAGAACTTTCCAAGAGCACCAAAGGTATTCCTCCTTAGCAAGCTGAAACATTCCCAAAACTATCATCTGTAGTCCTCTTTTCAAATGAGGGCACTTGTTTACATACTAATACAATAATATAAAAACCATAAACAATGATATAACGTAAGCAAGACAATAAATATCAAGGATCATTTAGGGTTACTAGTTCAACCTCCTTGTTTTTAATCGAATCATAAACCCACAAATTGCACTGATGTGTAATAACTTGATTAGCTCATATCTTTCCTGCTTGATGAATCCCAGATGTCGTGCTAAATAGGACTCCTTGATATGTACTCATGTTTTTGTTGTGTTTAAACAAAACAGTGTGTTGCTTTTTTCCTCCTGTAAATGCCTTTATTCCAAATTATGTTACAAGCCTCCTTTATTTTCGGTGTTCGTTTAGGGTTTTTAATCAGTTTTCGTATGCATTGTTAGATATTCTTAGCATCATCAGACATGGACCCTTTTATTTATTTATTGTTTTATTATTATTATTACAATTATTATTATTATTATTACTATTATTATTACTATTATTAAACTGCTAGCTTCTTTTGACAATAGATTTTGTTGTCGTAATATGAAAACTCATATTGGTGTCCGTTCGTAAAATTGATGGCTCCTATCCCCCTAACCCCAAGTCCCCAACCCCCAAATGTTGGCTGCCAAATCAGCGATCTAGGAGCTGGGGTGGGGGGTTTGGGAGGTAGGAACCATCAATTTTACGAATCAAGCACACTAGGTGCTCCCATTTGAGTTGTTGTAATAATATTACATTATGGTTTTACCAAAATGTTGTTATTATCATGGGTGAGGTTCCGTTGACAACGGAATCCAATGTCAACGGATGACACTCGCCCATTTTGGGGCACCTCCGGTGCTCCGTTTTCAAAATTGATGGTTCCTATCCCCCCTAACCACCCCCCTAAACCCCCTACCTCAACTCCACCCCTGCCCCCCCATGCATAATAGCCACACATTTGGAGGGGGGCAGGGATGGAGCTGGGGTAGGGGGGTGGTTAGGGGGGATAGGAACTATCAATTTTGAAAACAGAGCACCGGAAGTGCACCAAAATGACAGTGGCACCGGAGTATCACCATACTCTCGTGTCACTAGAACCCCACCGTATTATTATTATTCTTTTGGGGTGGGGGGTTCAAAACTTCAAACTCTGGTGGGGGATTGGGGAAAGGGGAGGGGACCCGGCTATGCTACTCCCAGCATCCACATGAACCCTTTTATTTGTGTTCCTATTCAGATTATTTACATTTTTTTGATGTTTGGGTTGTGATAAAGTAGATTTGAGATCTAAAGTCTGAGAAATTACTTTAAGCACGTAGCTATGAACAATGTGATGTCTTAACTAAAATGTCAAGTAGTATATGTCCAATGTGTAGTACCTCCACGGCTCCACCTCCACCCCAAGACTTTTTTTTTGTAACACCAATTTCAATGTTACAAGCATACCTTCTTTCAGATGTGGAAGTTATAGATGGAACGGATGAATATTTTCTTTTGAATACCAGTTTATTTTTTTTCTGTTTTATCTATTGAAGGAAACATCAAGTAAAGATCTTTCTACACTAGCCAAAGCAGCTTTTGAATTGTTCAAATGGAGAATTATCTTAGAACCCTATCTACAGAAGGTGGTATCTGTGATGCTTACTTCAGCAGTTGACTCAAATTGGCGCACCAGATCAGCTACATTAACTTTCTTGCGAAGTTTCATGTACAGGTACATTATATATATATATCTTTCTCGCACTTAGTACATATTGCTTTCTCTTTTGCAAATTGTCAAAAGATGAGGGATTTAATTTCTAGTTATTCTACTTATTCAATAGACAATTCCCCCCAAACTGCATACCCCACTAGCAAGCACACACACAACAGACAATGCTGTCCAATCAACCCACACAATATGCTTTACGGCAGTTAGCATTTGATCAGGGAAGGAACAACTTGTATAGTTGTATATAATCTGTTAACTGCAAGTCTGCCACAATAATTAGGAATGTGAGATTGACTGTAAAATGAACAATAGCTTGCACAAGTTGAGTCTATACGACATGATGCACCCAAGTTGAGTCTTTGTCAGAGAGTTTAGAGAAAATGGATGTATACGGTTCAGACTTGGGTGCATCATGATCGCCACCACCACCACCATTAGGGGGGAGCATGGTGCGGAATTTAGTTTGTATCAATACCGTACCAAATATTTTGGTTTGGTATGGGATTTTACATCCTACCGATCCTGATCCCGAAATATCAATTTAGGATGGTTTGGTATCGATTTTGGTGCAAATCGGGATGAATACATGCGTAGCTAGTTTACACTTTAAAATGTTAAAACCTCCTTTATTTTTAAAAAGTTGGAAGTACATTAAGTAAAGAAAATAAAAAACTGAAAAGATGAATAATTAAATGCAAGAAATGTTTATTAAAACATAGTATGTATTTTACAAACTTAAAAAATGAATGATAACAAAATAGTATTTGGAGTGTTTGTTAATTAATTATTATCGTCTGTATTAATCTATAAAAAACTGAAACTCGGATAAAAGTGTAACTTTGTCATAATAACACTTCAGCCAAATTTTCAAAATCAATTTATTATTTAATGAAGAAATATAAAAAAGATTATTATTTTTATAATATATTACTTCCTACGTCCCCCTAAGATCTTCTCGTTTTGACTTTTTGCGGTTTTTAAGGAGAGTTCAAAAAAGGTGAAAATTTACATAAATACCCTTGATGAAAATGGGTGGGGTGCATTAAATAAGGTGGAAAAGGTGTAATAAATAAAGTAAGTGGGGGTAGTTGTGGTATTTTAAATGTTAAAAAAGGTAATGAGAAGATGTATGTGGGACAAATAAAAAGTGCTAATGGGAAGATCTATGGGGGACGGAGGGAGTAGTATATATGTTCGGTTCGGGATTTTCGGTATGGAAAGTTACCGTGTACCATTCTCAAATACCGTAGCGACTGTTCGGTTTGGTATAGTATGGTTCTTTTGCGGTATGTTTTTGGTATGGTATTTTTCGGTTCGGTATTTTCGGTTTTTTTCATAAAATTTCGGGATTGGTGCGGTACTTGCTCACTCCTAACCACCACAACAATCCAGTAAAATACCAAATCCATCGGGTTATGAGGCTAAGGTGTACGCATTCGTACCCCTGTAAAAATATGGAGATTGTAGACCTTAGATGCATTGCAGCATTTACTACCCAAAACATCAAACAAAGTAAGAAAGGATGTTTAATATGCCATTTTGATTTATTCCATTATGTGCTAGAAACCTATTCAATATCAACAATGTCTCTTTTGGCTCCATTGGCTCCGGATCAAAGAGATATGGGATGGAAAAAAGGGTTCAATCGTGCATGTATTATACCTTTAAAAGAAACATGGATGTGGAGGTTTGACTTGATAAAAGCATAGATCAAAGTATCAGACATAGAAGCCATCATAGTTCAAATGCTTAAAGAATGATTTAGCATGTAGTTGAACTTTACAGAAACATATATAGTGTGGCTCTTGTTAGCTAATTTGCCTCATCCCAAAACATCAAAATAAGTAAGAAGCAAGGGAAGTTTGATGTGCCCTTTTGATTTAGTCCATTATGTGCTTGAAACAGATTCATTATCAATAATGTCTCTTTTAGCTTCATTGGTAATGGGCGGAAGAGATATGTGTGCACCACTTGGTCAATGGGATGGATCAGGAGGTTTGACTTTATAAAAAGCATATATCAAAGTATCAAACGTAGAGGCCACGATAGTTCAAAGGCTTAAAGAATAATGTGGCATGTAGTTGAACTTCATGGGAACGTATATGGTGTGGCTCTTCTTACCTAATTTGCCTTCCACCTTTTTAGTAGTGTGTTCCACATCATTCTTAGCACTCCAGGAATGCCTGTGTCCAGGTTTTGGAACTCTAGTCATCGAGTTCCATAAATCACAATAAAACAAAACAAAAGGTGGAAAGTCCAGAAGAAGGGAGGGACAAGAAAGAAGGAAATTATGATTATTTATAGAACAGGATATCAAACAGAATAGGATTACCTTGCATAAGACCAAGGGGGTGTTTGTTTTTCTGCCAGAAGACCTTCTGGCGTCTTTTGTCTGCGCCGCGCAGACACGCGCAGATGATGGGCTCTGCAGATTGTTTGTTTTTTGGAAGACATTTCACTCAAAAAGGTCTTCCTGGCATCTTCTTGGAGAAGACATTAACCAATGTCTTCTAACATCTTCTAACATCTTCTCCTTTTTTTCTACTTCTCTTCACCACCACAACCGTCCACCGCCACCGCCACCACCGTCCACCATCACCGTCACCGTCCATCACCA